AAAATTAGGAAAATCACCTTTAAATTCTGAGTGGTATTCACTGAGAGAATGGTTACATCAAAACCTAGGCCACAGCTTGTCTTAACAATATGCAATGCTTCAGTATACACCATATGCCCTATCATTGTGCTAGGATTAAATCACAATGGAACTATACTCTATCCATTAGAACACAGAGTATGGGCCCAACGAAATGGAAACAAATGGCAAACTGTTGATGTTAATGCATGTGTTGTACGGGAGCAATAAGGATTTATTTGTGAGAGTAATACCATCAAAGCTCAAGACATTTGTCTTGACACTGAACAAAATGTTTGTCATTTGGAAATATATCCCGCTGAAACCCCTGAAACTGTACTTGTATATCTTGGAAAAGGATGTGTCTGTATGAGAACTCTTTGTAATTTTATATTTGTAGATAACATTACTGTAGATACAAGTAATCACTCAAATATTTGTGTTTGTAACTTTACTGAAATTATGGGATGCAACTTTAATTATTCAGCTCCAGTTATGTCTTATCAATTGTTACAATCTAATTATACATCAAATCAAGATTTATTGCCTACCCCCATTGGAATGAATCTCACATTGGTGAAAAAATTGCTACAACACGATGACTTGTGTCAGCTGCTGAAACGCACTGAAACACCATGTTCTGGAAACAGTGAAGAAGGATGGAGAACATCACTGGTGGGAAACTTTCCTTGGACGGTCACCGATAGCAACAGGAATTTTTAATCTCATGCTTCATCCAGTTGTGATTTCACTGACTCTGATACTATTATGTCTATTACTTATAATAATATTGTACATAAAGGTCTGGTACATGATGAAACAAATAACCCAAGTTCAGCCACCCAAGACATATAAATTAGTACATAATTAGTAGCAATACTTTATGCTAAAACTGTTTGCTTGCCGTGGACCTGTAAGCACATCAATTATCAATATACTATTTATGGCACAGTGACAAGAGGTGACCATACCACCACTCTGAAGAATAAGATGGAATGACTATAGTCAAAGGATGGAGTGTGACGGTGTGCTCTTCCTCCCCCTCAGCTTGACTTCTTTGTAAACAGCACCTGGACAGGGGCTAACTGAGCATGCACCAACTAAAATCCATCTAGCATGCAAATATAACTATGAGTCGATCATCTTACCCCCATAAATAGGGGGCAGTCCAGAGCCCATGGAGCTTTCCTGCATGGCTGCAGGCTGCATTGCAGAACCTCCTCTTGAGCAGGGATGCCTCTCAAGGTAATTCCTCACGGTTGAGAGATTCCTTACCCACGACAGATCCTTGGTAAGTGGCACTGATAGCATGCTAAAACTTTGTAACTTAATAAAGTTACCTCTCTGATTGATTGTGCACATAATCCTTAGACACAAACTGTTGACCAAGTCTGGGACTAGGATTGGATCCATTGGGTCCATTCTGAACCTCATGACTCAATGGGAGGGCCTCCTTGACACTTACTTTGCAAACCTCACAGAGGCCACTCCAGATGTGGCCTCATCAGGGCTGAATAGAGGGGGAGGAGGAGGATCACCTCCCTCGACCTGCTGGCAACACTCTGCCTAATGCACCCCAGGATACCCTTGGCCTTCTTGGCCACAAGGGCACACTGCTGGCTCATGCTTAACTTGTCCACCAGGACTCCCAGGTCCTTCTCTGCAGAGCTGCTTTCCAGCAGGTCAACCCCCCAGCCTGTCCTGGTGCATGGGGTTATTCCTCCCTAGGTGCAGGACCCTGCACTTGCCTTTGTTGAACTTCATGAGGTTCCTCTCTGCCCATCTCTCCAGCCTGTCCAGGTCCCTCTGAATGGCAGCACAGCCCTCTGATACATCAGCCACTCCTCCCAGTTTTGTATCATCAGCAAACTTGCTGAGGAGGCACTCTGTCCCTTCCTCCAGGTCATTGATGAATAACTTGAACAGAATTGGAGCCAGTATTGACCCCTGGGGGACACCACTAGCCACAGGCCTCCAACTAGACTCTGTGCCACAGGTCACAACCCATTGAGCTTTGCCATTCAGCCAGGTCTCAATCCACCTCACCATTCACTCATCCAGCCCACAGTTCCTGAGCTTGCCTATGAAGAAGGCTTCTCACATGCTTGCTTCCTCAAACTATTCTATAAAAAAAAGCTATAGGAAAAAGCTAACTGTTTACTCTTAAGTTATGGTAGGAATACCCGTTAAGGGTTTTTTTTTTTTTTTTTTGGGGGGGGGGGGGCATCATCAGAAAGGATCATCTACTTCGGAGTAGGATTTCTGTACCATTTGTTTCTTGCACAGTCTCACAGTTTGTTGTGCTACTGGTATAGCAGTCTTCATTTCTAAAAATGGACTTAAATTATGCAAAGACTCAGGAACTTTTATTGCTTTATCACAAAAGGAGAGTATCAATTTCTCTATTTTAAAATATCTACACATTTCACAAAAAGACATACAGAAAGCTTTAAAGAAATAAATACGAAGTCCAGTAGGATTTTTTCCTCCTCAAAACACTATTAATGAATTCATGTAAGGGTTTTAAGACTCTCAAAAAACATTGCTTGACTTTGACACAAAACTAATACATATCTTCACATATAGAATTCATGTACCCCTTCCCTCAACTTAAAAGACTAATAACAGCTAATAACTACTACACAGCACTATATGTTAAAAAAAGAGAGACTTACAAAGCACCCTAAGCCAAGAGCAAACCACAGTGTGGGATCTGGAGTGTGATGTAGAAGTCACTTTCAGCAACAGCAGTGCTACCACCTCCCCCCCCAAACACACACACAGGTGAATAGAGGCACAACATGATTTATCTGTTTTCTTCTCTATATGTGTCTGAAAACACTCCTTTCCACAAAAAAGTGGAAGAGCAAAAAAGGAGACTAGGAAATGAGGATGAAGAATGGAAAAAAGGGCAGGTAAAGAGGCGGCAGCAGCCTGCGCGCAGAGGGAGGGGTGTCTTACCCTGGCTGGCCAATGGGGATAACCTTTCATCTTGGCGAAGATCAAGTCTCCAGGTTTGAAATCTCGGCTCATGCTTCCACAGGGATGTGACACCTATTGCTATAAGGCGATAGGGTCAAGGGAACAGGAGGGATTTGTACCTTCTGTCCCCGCTGCCGAGGTGCCTCCAGCTGTTCGGGATCCCACTGCCAGAGGAAAAAAAAAACACCAGGAGATAGGAAGAAGGAAAGGATGCCAAAAGAGCGTTCCACCAAGGGTAGCCCCCACCCCCCGACACCCCGCCATGCCACTACCCTCCCCACC